GCTGGGTCGGAGCCCCAAAAACGGCTAGCGCGGCAGGGATCGCGCAGCTTCGCAAATCCCTGCCGCTCGCGAAGCCGACAAACCGGAAGTCATGACTTTTTATTTTATGTAAGAAAAGGTTGCTATAAGCCCACTCTTAACATTTTAGATCAAAAGTTCAATTGACTTACATAATATTTACTTTGTAGGTTTGCAATGTACGTAAGCCAAGTATATTATAGGCTTCAACTGAAAGTCTCTTTTTCTTCTAGGTGCAGCCAAAACACTTGGGCTGTGTTGGCTTAAGTTGCTTTTACTTGGCTGTGAAAATTGTGGAAGAAGAGAGTAATATTCCATTAGCTACGGACTTAATCAGAATAAGTCAGTATCGGTTTACTGTTAGTGACCTAATGAGAATGGAAGGAATTCTTTTAGAGAAGCTACATGGAAAAGCAACAACTGCCTTCCAGTTTCTGCAACTTTATTGTTCAATTCTGTGTGACAGCATCAACTGTAAAAGGTTAGTCTCCTTTTCTGGACCAATTTGGAAATGTCAGTTCCTTTAAATCAAAGAGATTTATGGAGAGAAAATGTCCTATGTGCTAGCAAGGTGTAGTAAACATCCAAGAATCCCTTTTTAAAATAATCCAGGTGTGCATTTGCAATTCAAATTTTAACCATGAGGTTGAAACTGTTAAACAATACCCAATATATGTACATTGTAGCAGACAGACATTATGGTTTTAAGAGGTATTAATATTTACAAGACTGATGTACGATTCTATTAATCCCACACAGCAGTTTGAAGTGGGATTAGAATCCTATCAGATTTGACCTATCTGAAATAGGGATGAATAAATACCACTTACTACTTTGGTGTAAAACCAGTATTCTTGTCATGCCATCATAGTTAGATTACAGTAGTGCTTTCAGGGTGGAACTACTTTTCCTTGCCCCTTAAATAGTAACTTTCTGTTAGGGGCCTTTGAGGTTTCTAGAAAAACATCTCATACCATGACAAATTCCTGTATGTCCAATTACACTTGGCCAATAAAGAATTCTATTCTATTCTATTCTATTCTATTCTATTCTATTCTATTCTAT